CCTACTAACAGCTATTGCTTTTTACCATTTAAGGTAGTCTCTCAATACGGATAAGTTAATCACTTCCAAGAACATGGACCTGTAAGGTCTTTGAAGATCAGTACAGTCTTGTCAGTTGTTTTTATGTGAGCTACCATGTAAATCTTCCACAGAAGGCCAGAAAAACCTGGAGTTTGCAGCTTCGACCCCGAGTTCCCAACTGTGGTCTGTTTTTCAATATATATAAGTTCAGTGACTGCGAGAAAGGCACACAAAAGTGATCTAGCTTAAGAATATGAGGGAAGGATTCATGTTACGTCAATGCAGGCTCTAAATGGTTTGGAAACCTAATTGAGTCTATTGGTTGTGGCAGCTTTTTCTCCTTCCTCTTGGAAGGTCTGGCATTGATTCTCTGGAATTAGTGTAGTATTGCGCAAGTTAACAAGGTAAAAATTACTGTTATAAAGTCACCTACTGTGTTCACAGGCCTCTCCTGTGATAAACTATATGGTGTGGATGCAAATTTAGTATGCTTGAAAGATGGAAACCAAGAGTAAGGAATGCATGTTTTGCTTGCAGAGAAACAGCTAAGGGAAAATAGAAAAACGATTCTGGTAAAAAGTTTCTACAAGAGAAAGGTGCTGTCACTGTGGTTTCATTATCTCAACAATACAACTGAACAGATACTTGAGAGAGAGAAAACGATGATTTTACAACTATTAATTAAGATATCAAAGTAACATTCATATTCATAAATTCTTTTCTATTCGTCATGAATGCTTGTGCACAGTTTTTACTTTTATAAGAACTTTCAGAGGAATTGTCCATATTACAGTCAGTGTACTATGCATTTGCACAAATCGTACTCTTTAGTCTTTTCCTTTTTGTAAAAATTGATTTTTCTGGTTATAAAGGATTTTTTTTTTCTTCAGATTTTACATCATGAATAATACACCTGGGTCACTTCTCCAACCTTTTTTTTTTTTTTTACACTGGTAAGGATTTATTTGTATGAGGAGAGAATCTGTCTTACAATGAATAGTTGAAGACTGTAATAGAACAAAAAAACACACAAATAACCCAGAGGTTGCAATATGTTTGTATAAAGTATTCAAACAATTTCAAATAACAACTGAACTTGTAAAAATCAACATCTGTTCATGGATTATTCATGAATCAAAATTGTAAGATTCCTTCAATAAAAATAGTCTTCAATGAGTAGCTACCCTGGTTGTGGGGAAAAAAAAAAAAAGAAAGGATTCATGCAAACTGAAATCTCAACTTCAAGACGTTCATGAAGCTCAGATTCATTAATGCTAAAATTGTCCTCTGGTATATAAATTGCTGCACCAAACCTACTAATAAAAAAATAACAACAACAACCCTGAACAATAACAAGATAACATTTACTGTATCAATTTAGGTTATTGTGGGTTCTTTTCCACAAACTATGTATTTGGAGTGAATCTGTAATTGCATTTGTCAATTTGTAAAGGAGGATTATCCTGTTAAAATGTAAACCTTTCTTTTTGTTTTAGCAAATACCTACAATGATGAGTTCATATATAATGGTTTAAAACTATTAATAGAAACTATAATAAGAAAACAATAGTTGTTCAAACCTGCAAGTATGATTTTTGCCCAACTGAGAGGTAGGAAACTCTCCTGTGGTTTGGAATACAGACACAAAAAATCACACTAGGTATCATTTTCAGAACAATGCACATTTTTAATTTATGAATGTTCTTTTATAAACTTGTATATACAGTCACTCTTTTTCTGCCTTTTTTTTTCCTCCAGTGCTACATAATTATAACTTGCAAAATGTAAATATTTATGAATTCACAGGATGTTCTTTGGAAGTGAAGAGTATTATACTTGCAGATTTTTCTTGTACTTGCAGGATTCACATAATATTACTTGCCATCACGATGCACTGAAAAATGCAAAAAAAATATAATATTCTACATTTGACTTTTCTGAAAAATACCATCTGGTGTTATTTTTTGAGAGTTGGAGATTAGCTCTGTAATTGCTTATAGTTAGAGATAGACATTACTACATTTATTGACAATTTTATTCTCTACAATAATCTTACATTTAAATAGTGACTTTGTTCCTGAAGGATGCCAAAGTGATTAAACTGATATTCAAACTCTTTGGATCACATCACCCACAACTGAAATGCAGCCATCTCTGGGGTGAAATATTGCAGCTGTTTAACAGCGCTCAACAGCACTGTATAACAGCTTTGGAAATGAAGAATACCTTATTCAGATGAAAACGGGGACATTTAGGTAGGCAAAATAATTATCCAAGTTGGTATTTGGCCAGGATGTTAGTGCTCACATGTCTATACTCAGAAAAAAAGTTATACTGACTCTTTAATAACCAAATTACTCAGGACCTTGGGTCTGCTGCTCATCTCAGAGAAGGAACTGCCCAAGTGAAACCCCAGCCCTGTTCAGTGCTGACAGAGACTGTGGTGCTGCGCACAGCCTGGCATACATAGCTTGAGTCAGTCGGACTTTTCTTGACCACATGGATATCGTGCACCAACTCTTGTGAACCTAGTAGCATGGAAGAATCCACTGTGGTGGCTGTGCAGGTTTGGAGGCTGCAAGTGCATCTAAGTTGCCTCTCAGATAACTGTGATTACAAAAATGGACCGTTGACGATTTTACCTTTGCCACAATTTTGTCTCACTTCAGAAGTGGGTGTCACCTCACCTAAACTCCAATTAAGTACATGAAGATAATAGTCAATGCCTTTCCAGACCTCTGTTGGCTTTCATATTTTTCATCTTGTTCATCTTGTTCATCAGATCACCTTGCTATCTTGGGCTGGTTGTTCTTTGTTTCAGTTGATGTGCTCAAACTGGACAAATATTTCAGCAGGTATTTTCTTCCACCTAGTTATACTAAAACTCTTGATGTCATTAGATTTTCAATGTACATCTACTACTCATGAATTAAACGGACAGGGCTTGAAATCTGAACTGCATCTACAATCTCAGTGGAACAATAGATTTAGCTCAGGTACATCATCAACATTGAAAGAAAGCACTGTCAAAGTTAAAAAGCAAGAAACTCTTTGGTAAGTCATCGGCCTCCACATAAGCTTCTTTGCTTGTATATGCCAAAAAATTCCTCCTCACTCACAGTTGCCAACCACAGTATATTTTTGCACCGCTCTCTGTTTATCATCTACAGTGCTTACTGATGTGCAATTACATCCAACTACATGCACCAGCAGTGTGTTCTTTCTCATCTGGTTGTCAGAGATGATCAAAATATCATGCCTATGGATTTCTTTAGTTCACATGCAGCAAAACTTCCACTGAACTTTATCCAGGTGGAGATGTCACATGAAGGAGTATTGTGGAAATCGATTTTCTTAAGGTTGTTCAGAACGCCAGTGGCATGGCCAGGACTTTCTCAATTCCTGCTTCAATGGCTGTCATTGTACACCTAGCCAATTCACTGGAATAGTTCACCTTTTTTAAATAAAGGGGAGTGTGTGTATTTGTTGTTGTTTTGTTATTTTTTTTATCCTCTCAAGTTGTAGCAGCAGCCTATTTTCTCAACTTGTTTTTTTTTGTTCAGGTGTGGTCAAAGCTGCTTCAGATCCTCAGGTACTCATAGTAGTGTTTGTATGTTTGTTTCTTGAGTGTAAATTCAGACACTTTGCACTGAAAGAAAAGGTTTTGGTTTTTTTATTTGCAGAAAAGCAAATAACAATAGGAAAATGGATTTTTTTTTAAAGAAAAGTCATACAAAATGTCAATCTACTGTATGATTTTGTGATAATCAGAAACCGATATTTGTTATCTATTTGGTATAGCAATAATGTGGCTAGCTCTCATTTTCTTGAAAAAAAAAAATGCATTCCTAATCACAAAGACTTCAAGCCACTTAATGTAATGATTTGTGAGCAAAAAGTTGTAATAACTATGAGTCAAAACATGGATATTTTCTGTCTGATAACATGGATCCATTTGCTTTGCTGTAGAGAAAGTTGTTGCATGGATATACAGGTTTTGAGATTAAACACTTCAAAGGATATCAGGAGCAAACTTCTTGCTTCTCATTCTCTTTTTGGCGATAGGTAAAATACTTCAAAATTTTTGTTTTGATGGAAAATGGTGGAAATGGACTTCTACCTAGCTCTTCTTCATCTTAGTATTTCAATGTAAGACCTAGTAAAAGCACAATCCTTAATAATTTTTGTTAATTACATTTATAAATAAGCACATAAAAACATAAAATCATTAAAAGTCAATATGAAATTATATATCTATAATAATAAAATATTAAACGTTGTCTAGAACTAAATCAAGGCAGCTTATATGTAAATATGTGTATACTTTTATTTCATTTTCCCTCCATTTCTGTCTATAGCTGCTCTTACTCCTTTGCAATTATCAGTACAGATATTTGTAAAAGAAACATTTAATCCTGCAGCTATAACATAGAGGTGTGCAAATCTTTTTCTTTGTTTTCTGATAATTATAAAGAGATTTTTATAATGTTCATTTCATCACTACTTAAGAATATTTTTACGTTATAATAAGTAAACAATAATTTCAGGACAAATGAAAGATGTCATTCCACTCAAAATGAATGTTCTCATTTATCATGACAGAGTTTTTTGGAATTTGAAATCCAATTTGGAAAGGTTTTTCCACTTGTGAATAGTATTTTGAATGCATTGTCATTTTAAATTGAATTTAAAAAAAAACCAAACCAAAGCAAACTTCCCTCTTGATGTAGAAACGATTTACATTTCATCATGCTAAAAGGACTTAAAAAAATTGGGAAAATAATTTTCAAACAAAAAATTGTTACATTTTCCAGTTGACATAGGTGTATGAAACTGTATGTTTTACTTTAAATTATGAACAGAAGATGTGTCTCATTTTAAATTTCAGACCACCTTATGCCATCTATTTTTAACAGCTGTTAGTGTTTGGGCCGTAGGTAGTTAAAAACTTCTGACATAATTGATCTTTTGTCCACATCCCTGGTGCATTTGAAGGTCAAGGCTTCTTCCAAAGGAATATTTCCTGTCTCTGTTTTCTGTGTACTGTTAATCAGTAGTGAACATTTGTATTTATGCAAACACAGGTAATGTAACTTTAAATATACTTGTGGGACATGTCTAAATAACTGGCTATTTTCTCATCCTTTTTAGGAGAAGAACTACATTTTAAGGATATGTCATTATCAAGCTACAGATGTGGCTGTCCTGTTAGAAGACCAGGATGCCTATTAGGAGCCAGATTATGACCTTTTGTGCTTATTTTATAGATTATTATTAATGTGGTATTCAACTATTTTTTAGAGCCTAATGATCAAGAAAGGACCATGTTAATACCACAGTTTGGACAACATTATTCCCAATGATTTGAGACACTATGGTGAGATTTGGAGCACATTGTGGTCACTTTAAACTTACTATTTTCCATTCATATTATTCTACCATGATGCAAAACATTCTAGTGTGCTGTGTTACCAATAGAAAACCTTCAAAGTGTTCTACCTTGACAGAGAACTAGAAAACTATTTTCCTTCTGTATTTTCTCAATGAAATTGTCTACAAAAAAATCCAGTGCTTAGACTACACTTGATCCTGCACAAATATACTAATTTGATAAAAAAAAAGGAAGAATGAATCACCTCTGGGGGAAAAATATTCTGACCACTTTAAATAAATTGAATGCTTATAATATATATAAAAAGAAAACCTAGTTAGTGACATAACTTCACTAAACCACAGTAGTTTTGCTTCTAAAAGGTAAATCAACACTAAAAAAAATAAAAATGGAGACTTATAGAAAAAAAAAATCTCTACAGGTGCCTCCAGGAATTAAACTATCTTTTAAAGAGATATTAAAAATATTATTTTTATGCTTCTGAATGCTAAAATGTCATCCCAGGAACTGATTCCTAAGAAAACATCCTAAAAGAGGGTAAGCCTCAAGGTGATGAGTAGAAGTTTTAGAAGTTGTTAAAATTAGCAAGTTATCGACTAAAGAAAACATTTGTGCAATCAGATGTTATAGATGTAGAGGCAAAAAGCAGCAAATGTTTTAGGAAACTTCAGAAACTCAGTAAACTTCCCATAAGACTATGGATACTTATTTTTTAAAAAAATCTCTTTTCTATTAGCAAGTATGAAGTGAATTAGATTATCTTAGTCTGGAAAAATGAGAAAATGATGGCATTAGTTAGAGGTAGTTAAATTATCATTTGTATGAAAAACTATTGCATATAATCAACTTGAATTCACCTAAACTCCCCTTGCTGCTCTTTTTCTGGTCCCCTTGAGGAAAAACAACAACAACAAAATAGTACATGCTTATATTCTGTAGTGCCAAAATGTGAATTAGTTTAAGTGAATAAAGGTCTGCATGGGGTTACAGTGAGACCAGCAATTTGTTTTAAAGGTACACAAACATAGCTGTACAAATGTAAAAATCTAGAATATTAAGAAATACTTTATTAACATGACTGAGGAATCACTTATGCCTTAAGTAAACTCTCCTGATAATACAAGCCAGAGTACAGATGAACACTTTTTAATGCCAGGCTGCTCTACAGTGCTACTTGTGAGCACCCTGCTTTAAGAAGATATCACCCCATTGAAATTTGTTGAAGATGCTTGCTTATGGCTTACAATTAACTCTTCAAAGCTCCCACAGTGACATAACACCTTTGTTATTAATGGAGGATTTGCATTATTTCAGTTAGCAGTGCTCTAAATGAAGAGTTGGTCTCCATCTGAAACAGGCAAAGCACAATTTTCTTGGGTTACTTTGGGGCTTGCAGGCATATTAAGGGATTAGCTTTTAAGGTTTCACTACTTAATCTGTGTGGGTTGCTGCTAGAAGTGTTTCCCCATCTGGATTAGCTCCTAAAACTAAGAATCATAGTTTTTATAATAATTTTCTTTGCAGTGTTGGTTTTCAATGAGACAGGTAAATTGATTCAGCCTCCCTGAAGGTACACTGCTACTGATATGACAGAGCTGGATGAATGAGATGCTGGTGTACAGGGTCCACTCTTTCTTCATATGCTATGATCTTAAGTTTAAATCAGCCATGAAATAGCATTCAAAGGCTGAGGTGAGCACAGGGATGAAGCATGAAGTGAAATCCCAGCACACTTACAACTAAGATTTGTTTTTACACAGGTTAGGTGATTGTTCACCTACAGTAATTTTATTTCTTGGTGTATTCACAGACATATGTTGCAACTAAAAGGCAGTGTTGGCACAGACCTCACAAAAACTGTGGGTGAAGTAGAAAGCTTTTAACCATAAGAAAAGTAAGGTTCCAGAAAAATCTGCCTATGAGAGAAAAATATGGCTTTAAGGAAAACCAGGATCAGTTTAGGAAAGCAATTCTAAACTGGATATGATAGTGTGATTTGATGTACAGGTAGATCCCCTTTGGTCTTGTCACCTATGAAAAGAAGAGGTCCTAGATTAACTAAGTGAAATTACCTGATATGCTTTTAGAGATTGGTATTTACATTAGTGTAAATAGAAATGTTGTGTGAAACAGTCGTGCTTAGAAATTTTATGCCAATATAAGTAGTGTTGGGGTTCCTTCCCCAGTTTTTTGGTTTTTTTTTTGGTATAGGAATAGTCCAACAAAAAAATCAGGCACTTCTTACTACAGCATCTGTATGATTCATGGGGAACTGCCTGTAAGCTCAGAATCATCAAGATACAGTGTGTTTTGTTGCCTAAGGGCTACTGGTTATGGTACTTCTCAGATCAGTGTAGGTGCTAGAAATTATTAAGGGCTTTGTTGTACCAGTGTTAGTTGCTGTACTGAATCTCAAATTTGAACTTTTAAGTGATTTTCTAGTGTATTATGCTCCTACAAATCCAGACAGGGGGACTGTTTTCAGCTGAAACAAATAAATAGAAAAGCAAGACGCTGTAGTTACAAAGTATGTTGCTAGTTTAAATCTCACTGCGTAACCTGCATGTACCTGCTGGGTTGCAATATTGCTGTCAGTTCAGAAATGCAAATGCCTGTTTCCTTCCCTGCAGGTGCACAGCAAGTAGGTAATCTATAAGTACCTGTGCGTAGCTCCACATGGCAAATATCTTGCTACCTTGATGTACCTCCACCTTTCTGATAAGTCTTTTTAGGCTTTAAATACTTCTTGGCACTCTATAGTGGTTAGAAATATACCCATAGCTTGATTTGAAAACACAGTAGGAGTGTTCCAGAATCTGATTATGAATAGGTTTTCCATCATGATCTGACTGTCTGTAAACACAAGGAATTTGGATCTGATTGTTCAGATCCTTTAATATATATCTAAGTCCCAGAATAATCATAGGCAGAGGATGGAAGTCATTATACTTTCTACAGGGAAAAAATGCCTCTACATGGATTCATTTGCACAAACTGGGTAGCTGTGTCTTGTTTTAATTGGAAATTGACAATATCTACATGTGTGGTCTATGTTTTAAAAAGCTCAGAACCTGAAAAATAAGTATTTGGAAATGCATAGTAGAACAAACTTCTGATCTAGATTTCATTCATGTTGATTTATGAACTACAGTAGAGTAGTTAGCTCATTAGAGTTATGCTTAGGAGGCCATACATAAATTACTTTTCTGTGAAAATATCTATATTGTGTCTTATACCAGAAAATTTTAGTTTACCCCTACAAATTATTTTCCACCTCAAAAACCAAAAATGGCAGCTCTCCAGCCATCTGTTTAAGGAAAGTGGAACTGAAGGACTCTGCCAGGAGGGACACCCCACTGCAAAGGAGAGGAAGGTGCTTAGTGGCCCCAGCTCTGCTCTCCAGGTGGACCTTACAGACAGGTAAGTTGCACATCCACTCTCAATCATTTCAGATCTCAGTTGTAACATACTGGAAAACCTGATGAACTGGTATACGCCAAGACAATCAAAAATTTCTGAACACCATTCAATGTAAGTATCCTCTAAAACTGCTTGATGTAAGTACAATTGCACTTTGAAGAAAAGGACACAAAATCAAGCATAGTTTCTGATTACTTATTTTAGCAAACAAGCTACTAGGAGTGCTCAGAATATGTTTACTCCAAAGAAAATATGTATAATGATTTAGCATCAAAATATTTTTTTTATCTATCTGAACTGTTGGGTCAGTGAAATTGAACCTGTGGCTGGTCGGAGTACCACTCAGCTCTTCTGTGTGTGGCAGTAACCTGCCTGTGTGGACTTTATGGGGAAACTGAGTGACATTAAATATTATGTTTTCATGTTACAGCTTCCTTTGCATTTGACCACTATTTTGCACAAAGGCTCTTTACTGCAGTCTTTAAAATCAGAATAACGGAATGCAATAAATTAATACAAGAAAATGAGAATTTTGCATATAAACAGATTTTCCACGGTTCCCTCTCACTCTCAGTCGGTACATTGGTACATTGTATTTTTTCACAAATAAATAGGATGCCTTGGAAATTATTTAAAGTGTGTCTGACTTAGGAGACTCTTCAGGAACACTTATGTAGCAGTTACAGATAAACACATAAAGCCATTAAGATGCACAATCATATGCTGCAGGAGCTGTTTGTATTTGTGTATCATCCTCACTTCAGTGGGAATTCACACTGGTTTCTCTGCATCAATATCAGCTAAAATGTGTATCTGTTTAACTCATTATTTGTATAATTGTATAGAGTTGGCTTTATTCACACTGTGCTGGCGTTGAAAACTAAAATCCAGACCAGTATCACAAAGTTCCCATGTGTGGCTTAAGGAATTACATATTCTGCCTTGTGAGAGTGTAAAATTATAGTTGTATAAAATCACCTAGCAGTTCTTTACCATGAGTTGCATTTTATTACCAATTTCAGATATAGCCATGAGGTAACAGCTAAAAAGGTCACAGTGCAAATACATGTGCAGAATTTAAATGAGGACTTATTCTTTCTCCAATAAACACACACCGGATGCAAAGGAGGAATTGGAACATTTTCAGAAAGCAGCTCAGGCCCATGCGTCTCTCATCAGGGACCATTTCAAAGATTAGTTTCTGATGTCCATAGAAACATATTGTGTGAGCATGATTTGAGATAATATGCCATTTCTGTGCATTGCCATCTCCTCTGAAAGCATTCCGGCTGCACAGGTCTGATTGCTGGATTTTGCAGCACCCTGTGAGAGCTGCAAAACCTTGGTAGTCCAAGTGGACTGGCTGCCTCTGTAAAGTGAGCCTGTAAAGCTTTATTTTCTTCTGGGAAAGAAACCGTATCTGAATATTGCCCAAATTTCAAATTACCTGCCCCAGTACTAAACAAAGATTAAAGGAAGAGGAAAGGAGAAACGTTTCCAGAAATGAAACCTCAGGTGATCTGGTTTCTGTTCTCAGCTCTGACACCCTTTTTGTCAGCCTTGGTAAGTCATTTAGCTGTGCCTTTTTTCTCATCTTCATAATAGGCATAATAGGAACATTGTAAAGACAAAATCAATATTGCTAGTAAAACACTGAGGATCACTGCTACATAGAAGGCCCACACAAGTATGGGCTGTTTAAGACCTGAAAAAACAGGCAGTTGAACCCTTTGCTGGGACAGGACTGGGTGTCCTTAGCCCAGATACAGAGGATGGGGGCAGAGACCAGTCATCAGAATGTGGTATCTGCTTTAATAAGCACGTGGAGCCCTTTTGGGGTTAGTCATACTGAGCAGTGATGGGAGAGAAGGTCTTCCCATCTTAATAGGGCTCATAAACTCCCTGACCAGTGGGTGGGACAGGACAGGGGATATTTCCAAAAGGATGCTACCACAAACTGGTCTTCTAACAAATATTAGCAAAAAATTGGCAAATATGTGAGAAAAAAGCTGGCAAATATGTGAGAAAAATCTCACTTTCCTCTCCCTCCTGTTCTTGTGTTCAATAGCTTGGGAATATTTGGCTAAGCCTGCCAGTGCTATAGAGATGAGGTAGAAAACCCTCAGAGCTGCAAGTTCAGCTTTTACAGCAGCTCAAATGCTGCAGTGGCAACATGCAGATTGTGGCTTTCTCCCTCCGACCTCAACAGCCAACTCTTAACTCCATGAGCAAATATTTCAAAGACTGAAACATTAGAACAGCACAGCACAGAATAACATATAATAGAATAGATTATTTCACTGGGAAAAGACCTACAACTAACCTCTAGGCCAATTGCCTGAGCACTTCAGGGCTGACCAAGAGTTAAAGCATATTATTAAAGGCATCGTCCAAATGCCTCTTAAACACTGACAGTCATGGGGCATCTTTCTGTAAGATCTTTCTCAAACTTTAATTTTGACTTGGAGATTGATTTCCAAAAGCACAAACCTGTGGCTCTGAGAATCTGTTTTATAAGCTGTCTTTTTGAGTTTCTCAAAACTGAGTGACTGCTTTACTGGGACAACGTGTCATTCCTGATTACATTTGCATGTTTGTTTAAACATAACACTACATGCCAGAGCTTCCTATCTGGATGTGATGCAGCATCAACGTGATGTTTCATGCTCTGGGAACTTTAAAAAGTCATTGAAGGGGGAAAAGTGAGATGCCTATGGGAGGAATGACAGAAATTTGGGTTTGATTCTACTCTTATCAAGGTAAGTAGTAAAACATATGTTGACTGAGTTTGAAGCAAGATGGACCAGTAATGACTCTGACAAGGTAGGTGGTGTCTAATGATTTATCAGTCCTAAACTTCTGAAGAATGGGATGTCCTTCTGCTGTTTTTTAAAATTGTCTGTTTCTTGTAAATACATAGTAGAATAATAATTGCTGGTGTTTTATTTATAAAAATGCTGGTGGACGTATTTATTATGAATGAAATTAATTTTGAATTAGCCTCCTTTTTCGTCCATGAATGATTTTGCAAACAATGCTCTGTTCTTATTATTCACTGTATAATCAGGAAAGAAACAGTTTATGTCTCCTCTATCTCCCCTTGCCACTGTTTCTTCAAATCCTTCCAAGTAGGGAAAGAATATTTGAGAGCAAGTGCGCTAATATTCTTGAAGCCACTTAATCTTCTCCTTCAGACTTTTTCTGAAAGGCTGATAGAGGATTGGAAGGGTCTGTGCATATTATGGAGTTGTGCAGGCTATCTGGTAGTAAATGTGTTGGGTGAAGGTCTACTACTCCATATAGGCAGTGTGGGTTATTTCCCAAAATATTGAATTGCTGTGCCAAATAATGGGCACTTTACTACACCTCCGCTGTCAATCTCTAATATGTAATAAAACCATCAGATTTTGCATGACCTTTATGAAAGCAAAGCTTATAAAACTATCCAGTATTAGACCTTTATGGAAAACCCTGGCATATTTCAAGTTCCCTGAATTAGATTTGTGTACAGTAGATAAGACTTGTGCACATAGGAGACTATAAACTACCAGTATCTGATAATGTGTAGAGAGTCTTTAACTAAAATATGCCAGATGCCTAGTGCCAGTCTTATACAAGGCCCTATGCAAACCATGCTGAAAAGTAGAAGATGACTTAGTACTCCACAGCTTGGTGGATCCATCCAGT